TGTGACAAGCGTCGAGGAGGCGGTCGCGCGCGGGTAGCGGTCCAGGCGCGAGAACAGGGGACGTCGGCCGCGGGCGACGCGCGCATGCAGGGGATTTTCGCCAGCGTCTTGGCGAGGTGAGCCGAGGCATTGGGGGCGAGGGCCGCCGACTGATCGCTCGGGCCCCAGGAGACGGCGCCTGCTCACCCCCGTAGACGTTGTCCGGCATGCCATAGCCTGCGTTGACGGCCATGTTGATGGACACCTATAGGGGGTATGGGTTGTAGAGGTGTTGTGTCGTGGGGTTGCGTGGATGAGTGATCTGGGGGTTCAAACCAGATGGGGGATGGAGGGGTGTTGCATGAGTAGGTGGGAGGGGGCAGAGAGTTGAAGAATCAGGTTTGTGAGTTCGGAGGCGGTCGCTCAAGGCAACAGGTGGCAGCAGCGGCGAAGATGAGCGGCGCCGAGGGACCAGCCAGCCGCAGCTCTGGGGCCCCATGGGACCCAACCCCCCGGCAGCGCCCTCTGTGGCAGCTGCCCCGCCGCATAAGTATATGGCCGGCGATCCAACGGTGCGGCCGGTGGGGGCGCCCGACCCGCTGTGGGGCGCGGGGCAAGGCGCGGCCGCCGTTGCCGTGCCGTTGTGGCCGATGCACACCGCGCCTTGCCCCGCGCCCCACAGCAACGGCGGCCGCCGCGCGCGGGGGACGGCGCACCATGTGGATCCTCGCGGGGATGCGCGCGGCGCGCAGCAGCGCCACGAAGAGCGTGGCCTTGGGGTTGCAAAAGCCGTAGCCCAGGGAGAGGACCTCGCTGGCCTTCAGGTTGTCTGCGGGGATGCAGGCAGGCCAGCATGTGTGTCTTGTCGAGATTGCGGCGTTGCAGGGGAGGGTAGGGTTGGGTTGCAGCATTGCCGGGGAGGGTGAGCGCGGGGTCCAGCATTGCCGGGGAGGGTGAGCGCGGGTTGCGGCATTGCAGGGGAGCTTGAGCGCGGGTTGCAGCATTGCAGGGGAGCTTGAGCGCGGGTTGCGCCGGCGGCGTTGCAGGGGAGGGTGTGTTTGGGTTGCAGCAATGCAGGAGCGGGTTGGGTTGCCGCATTGCAGGGTGTGTGTGTGGTTGGGTTGCCGCGTTGCAGGTGAAGGTGTGCTTGGGCTGCGGAGTTCGATGAGGGGCCAACTGCTGCAATTGTGGGTGGGTTGGAGGAAGGCTTGGCCTATCAGGGGGGGTGGGGGCGGGGGCGGGCGCGGTGGGAGGTGCCGGGCGGGCTGG